AAGAAAAAAATAATCTAAATTGATTATTTTTTAAAAAGCATGATTAATTAGAACAATTAATCAATCAATAGATCAACGTTCCAATTCTAATTGCAATTTAAACAACTCTTTTCTAACCGCATACCTAAGTGGCTTTACTTTTTTAAAGAAATTAAAATGCATTAAAAACCTATTTGTATTAATAAATCTATATAAATTTTATGAAATTAAGACAACTTCACTTTTCTGATTGTATTCTCAAGTACAATTCTGAGTAACCTTTCACTTTTAGGTGAAATCAAAATGTGTAAGTTCACATTCGCAATATAAGCTAACAAAAAAAAAGTGGCAACGTATTGTTATAACGATTTTTTGAATTCTTTAACAAGCTTTTTTTAAAACTTCAACAATAATACCTTTTGCAAATATTCGGATATCTAAAGGATCAAAACCTTTTTATGGATGGTATATTCATCCTATTCCATATGAAATAACAATCAAAGATTTTTTTGTTAAACTTGTAAATAAGGAAATATCTTCCAAATGCAATATTGCTGTAACAAACTCTGAAACAATAAAAAACATTGAGTTAAGTAAAACACCAGTATCAGTTATAATCCAAGCCAGCCTTGATTGTAATATTATAGAACTTACAAAAAATGTAGGAATACATATACATTATCGGCTTAGAGTTGATGACAATATGATTTCTGATTCATTATCACAACAAAACAGCCTTACGATCTTAATGCAAAATGCACGTCAAACCTGATTATATTTACCAACTTTCTCACAATTAGATAAGACAAATCATAAGTTAACATTACGTTAGTTAGATTCATTGTCATAATGGAGAATGGTCTACTAAATCATATGCTAACACTCAAGGAAAGCAATTTATTATTAGTTTAACTGAAGCGATCTGGTATATTGATATGCGAAATCACCAAAAATTTGAAGAACATAGTTATCATATACCTGAACTTTTTCTTGAGTTTTTTGGTCATGCAAATCCAGAATCGTATAAGCAATCACGAAAACTCTTTGATATAAATAATCTTAATTTACATTACCAAGCTCTTGCTCCATATGCTACATCTTCATAGATGTTAATGGCAAATTTTGACTGGCTCCGTGATGCATTTGATCATCTTATTATTGCTATTTCAAATTATGTTGGATTTTTACAACGTTAACATGAATTTACTGCTACAAATCATGCATCTGATACTCCTATACGAACTATCGATCAAGCTATAACAGTTAAAGTCCACAAGCAAAATGTTTGGGTTATAGCTATTGATAAAAACAAATACTGTCATCTTATACAATTGCTTACTGATTTATCATCTTGGAAGCCAGTTAATATTGAAGAATACCTACCGATTGATCCTGTGTAAGTAGATGAGAATAATACTAAAAATTGTTAGTATATATAACTAATAAAATAATTTGAATTATAGTCAAAGAATGCATTTATCTCATGTATTTTCCTTCAAAATTGGAGAATATCGATTTAATTCTGATAATAATGCTTTTAATGCAATTTCAATATGGAAAATTGATGAACAAGCCAATGAGGTAACAACACTACAAGAAAACAAGCGAATTGTAAATAAATTGCACCTCGCTTTCATACACAAATAATGTGAACTAATTATATATATACCTGTGATCTGCTTCTTCTGAAAGCCAAGCCATCAGCACTTTGAACGATTTATCGAATGTTAACAGGTGACATTTCTGCAGCTGAGAACCTAAATGAAGCGAAAGTAGATGAATGCATCAAACTTGCTTTAAAACTTGGAGATCCCGAAATTACTATTTATTTACATGAACATAATGATAGAAGACTTAGTAAATATGATGCTTTCTGGGAAACTGCAGCTTGATTTTTAGCAGGTAAAGTAGCAGATGCTGTAACTGCTGTAAATAAATGTAGACAAGACCCAATTGTGCATCTTGCAATTGCAATTTTAGTAAATGATCTTCTGCATCAGATTAAACATGAATGTTCATCTGAAATATCTATCCCAAGTGCACAATGATTAAGGTTACAATTTTGGTCTAAAAACCCAACCCGACTTAGTAGTTTGCAGTTTACTAGACACTTATCTTTAAAATTCATAGTTCAAACATGTCAATTACAGGCTTATCATCTGGATGCTCATTATGCATCAGCATTGTTCCATTATAAGAAGGAGTTTGCTGTGAAATTTCATAAGATAACAAATTTTGTCTTTTTAGATAATAAATATCAATGTAAGGTTAGAGAGCCTGAATTTCCCGTTGCTGCAGTAGAAAAAGGAAAGAGAGTTATGGTTAGTAAAGATATTATATTTGCAGTTGCAGATCATGATTATACAAAAACAGGGATCATACCAAGTGTAACAATGGGTATGTAATATACCCGATTCGATAAGTGGTGATTTCTATATGGGGAAAGTACATATTAGATTAAAGGTCCCAATCTTTCAGTCTTCCTCGCCTATTCATCATGCAACAGAATTATATTACATACTTCTTGATGAAAAACTCATCAATAAACCTATTCTGTGTCTTTATACAGATAGTGAACCAGATCATCATTGCATATATACTCGTGTTCAGCTCTCCTATATTTGTCTTTTTCTTGCATTAGACCTTAACTATTTTGTTGCTGTTCGGACTCTACCACAACATTCATGAAAAAATCCTGTTGAACATATTATGTCGATTCTGAATCTTGGGTTACAAGGTATTGGGTTAATGCGAACCAAAATGAACGATCAATCAGAAAAATTTATAAAAGAGGCCGGTACAATAAATGAGATTCGCAAGATTGCTGAAGAAAATTCTAACTTGAAGAAGGATCTTATTAAAAGTCTTCTAGATCCAATTCGCTTGATTTATAGTGTATTCAGCCGTCAGTCTCTTAAAGATGAACTGTTCAAAGCATTCACTGCAGCATCGAAAATGGAAATAGAAAGATTTTGGGAGACTATTCTACTTGTTGATGATAGTGTTACTCATGAAGACCATACTGCAGAACATATAAAATGAAAGGTAAGTAAAATGCTATTTGAATGAATCATTATGCAATAACATATCTTTGTTTAAAGCCACATCTGCAAGAATTTTTAAACCATTGTTGTATAGCAAAACACTATTTTTTTTTAATCAAAAAATGCAGTGAATCATCTGTACCATTTGTCATCCTCTTCGCTGCTCACCAAAAGATTTTGAATAGCTTCATTATATTTCAGATCCAGTGCCTGGGGATGACTTATATTACAAGTCATTTGAAGAGTTATATGGCAAGCAAATAACAGAGGATTATAGATCTTCATTTAATAATGCTAAAACGAGAACAAAAAAGGACAAAACAAAAACCAAAAGTGCAAAACATACTATGTCATTTTGCCTTCTGTCACATGTGCAAGAAACGTTGGTATCATTATAAATTGCTTTGAATGTGAAAGTTACGTCTTTTATTTAGCACAAAAAAACTTTCAGAAAAAGATAAGACAATACTATAAGGATTCTTGGATATAATTTTTTATACCTGTGGTATGTCATTTCATAATACATGTGATCTTACAAAGGCCATGCCGCAAAAATAATCAGACATACACATAGGAAATAAGATTGGCTGTGACAAAGAAGTTAATGATCAAGAAATAACAAATAAGGATGAATATGATAAAAATGAAGAGAACGAATCTGAAAACTCAGAAAGCGAAGGTGAAGATGAAGGATCCAATAATAATGTGAAAGCAGAGACTAGCAATAATGCAGAAGATGCAGTTCGTGAACTTTTTCAAGGGTCTTTGTTAATGATTCGCATCGCAAGTTGAAAAACTATATTACTCAGCCAGAATCTATCTAGACATTTGCATTGAATGCAGAAGTTTAAATGTTAGTAAGCCAGCAAAAGGTGAACAACTATGTTGTAGTTGCTGTATTAATCACACCACTGTTTCAAAGAAATGTTTAATGTGGAAACAGGATGGTAAAGATAAGAAAAAACAGAGAAAAAATTAGCTTCTGAATTTCTAAATAAAACTTTAATATAAAGGATTGACCGAATATTAATCCAACTGTAAAATTTAAGGTTAAATTTAAGTTTCAGTGATAGACAAATCAATCACATAAAATTGTATAGAGCATTACTATTAATCAATTATTTTAAAAAAAAATTACTGAACTCCGTTCTAATGACCCGGCAAGGGTATGAAAACCAAAAAATTTATTTTGTCCCGCCTAATTGTTAAATTCAAATTCCTTAAAAAAACACTTTATAAAATATATAAAAAATAAAGTAAAATAAAAAATGAGTAAAAATTTCACTTTTAATTGACTTATTATAGTATATTCCTAAAAAAAAAATAAAAAATAAAAAATGATAAATTTTTATCCAAAAAATTACATTCAATTTTACTTACCTTAATTCTAAAATGAGAAAATTCCTAATAAAAAATAAGAAAAATAAGAAAAAGAAAGGAAAATAATAAATTTTCACCAAAAAAATCACTTTTAATTTACTTATCTTAATTCTACGATAAGAAATTTCTTAAAAAAAATAAGTAAGAAAGAAAAATAATAAATTTTCATCCAAAAATATCAGCAACAATTTGTTCATCTAAATTTCAAGATAAAAATTTTCCTAAAAACAAAAAAAAAAAAAAAAGGAAAATAGTAAATTTTCGTCTAAAAAATCACCTTTGATTTGTTTTTCTTAATTTTAAAATGAGAAATTTCTTAATAAAAAATAAGAAAAAGAAAGAAAAATAGTAACTCTTTATCTAAAAATTCATTTTCAATTTGCTTATCTTAATTTTAAAATAAGAAATTTTCTAAAAAAAAATTACCAACAATTTGCTTACCTTAATTTTTCAAGATAAGGTTTTTCCTAAAAACAATAAAATAAGGAAATAGTATATTTTCATTCAAAAATCACTTCTGATTTACTTATTTTAATTTTAAAATAAAAATTTTCTTAATAAAAAATAAGCAAAAGAAAGAAAAATGATAACTTTTCATTTAAAAGTCATTTTTAATTTGCTTATCTTAATTTTAAGATAAGAAATTTCCTAAAAAAAAATAAAAACAAGAAAGAAAATATTAACTTTTCATTCAAAAAGTCATTTCTGATTTGCTTACCTTAATTTTAAAATAAAAAAAATAAGAAAGAAAGAAAAATGGTAAATTTTTATCAAAAAAGTCACTTTTGATTTTGCTTATCTTAATTTCAAAATGAAAATTTTCTAAAAAAAATAAAAAAACAAAAGAAAAATGATAAATTTTCATAAAAAAGTCATCTTTAATTTACTTTAATTTCAAATAAGAAATTTCCTAAAAAAAATAAGAAAAAAAAAGAAAAATTTTTACCTAAAAAGTTACAAATAATTTGCTTACCTTAATTTCAAGATGATAATTTTTCTAAAAAAAAAAAAAAAAGAAAAATCCACCTAAAAGATATTTTTGATTTATTTTAAAATAATAAATTTTCTAAAAAATAAAAAAAAAAGGATACTTATTAAAGATGGGAACTGTAATTAATATGTTGCAACTTACGTTGCAATTAGTTTTAACCTATATATGTTGCAACTAATTTTAGCTTATATTGCAACATTTTGTAAATTGAAATCAATTACTGTACCATCTTTAATACTTATCTTATTTATAAAATGAAAATTTTTCTAAAAAAAAGAAAATAATAAATTGATATCTAAAGAATAACTTATTATATTTCAAAATGGTAAAAATCTTCTAAGATAAGAAAAAAATACAGAAAAAAAAAGTTAAAAAAAAGGACATTATTCTAGCTAATTAGATGATTTTATATTGTCTAATTTCTATTGAATGATCTATATTGTCTCTTAGGGAATGATGATTTGATCATTCTAATAAAATAATTTTTCATTATCTAATTAAAATGATGTTGATTTAAACAATAGTGTATCATCCCAAAGGATGATAATTTGATCATTCTAATTAGACAATTTTGCATTATTTGATTGAAATAATGTTGAATCATTCAAATTAAATGATTATCACTTTAAAGAAATGTTTTTTATTATTCTCAAAGAATGATTTTATTTTAAAGAAATAATAATGCATCATTCAAAGTAACAATTTTTTAATTGTTCAATAAGAACAATAATTTATTATTACTTTCAGATAATTTTTCAAATTATTCAATAAGAATAATTGGTCTATTGTCTTTTGGAATAATTTTTTTGATTATTCTTATTAAATGATGATTTATCATTCTAAAGGGATGATTTTTTAAATTATTTAAGAATAATAATTTATTATCCCAAGATTTTTCAAATTATTCTTATTGAACAATAATTTATTATTTCAAAAAGACGATTTTTTAAATTGCTCAATAAGAATGATATGTATCATTCAAAGAAATAAATTTTCAAATTGTTCAATAAGAATGATGATCTATCGTCCCTTAGGATAATTTTTTAATTGTTTCTATCAGATTTGCATTATCTGATTAAAACATTATTGTATCTTTTGATTTGAATAATTTTATCATTCTTATTGAATAATGATTTGTATTGTTCTTTTAAAATAATAATTGTATTATTCTATTTGAAATAATTGTTTATTATCATATTTTTAGAATGATTTTCCAATTAGACAATTTTTGCATTATTCTATTAGACTAATCAGAGTTAATTTTTGGTTTAACTCTAATTAGCCATAAATTAGTTATAAATATGAATTTAGTTCAAATTACTAATGAATGGCAAATACAGTCATACCTCTCTATAGCGAATTTTTATATAATGAATTTTTTGGACAACTATATTAAATTTACCCTCGTTATAACGAACTAGCCAATCAAATTCTTTAAAAAATTCACTATAGCTCTATAGCGAAGTTGAAGTTCAGGACATAAAATTCGTTATATCAAGGGTTGACTGTAATGATTTTTTTTGATTTTAACCAGTGATATAATAATTATATATTATGATTATATTTATATCTTATAAATAAACATTAATTTGTAATTACTAGGTTACAACTAATTACAGAATTTTAATTATAATAAAAGTTATAACCTTTTAGGTTATATCCTGAGTTGTAACAGATTGCAAATTTTTCAAATCAAATGCAGTACATCTTTATTTGTAAATAATCTAATTTATCCTTTACATCATATAAAATAACAAGAATATATCTTGTGACTTTACATATAATAAAATGTATTTACTATTGATTTAATCTACTAAATTCTGATTAATTACTTTCTTACTTATTTATATAAGGGTTCCTGCAATGTGTAATATAAGATTGTATCTATTATAGATTATTTAGTAAAGATCAAACTATTGATCTCTAACTTCATTTGAATTTATATTCTAAAGTCTGTAGTATTTAAGTATGATTAATATTGATTGATAGACCAATCAACTAAATTTATATGTATATTAGTATATATACTCTTCAATTCAGCTATAATAAAATTTTTATGAAAATTATATAATATTATAATTCAGCTGAGACCTAAACTAATGGATTATAGTTATGTAATAAAACTTTTTACTATAGAAGACTCGTAGTTTAATTACTGAATCAGAATTATCATAATTATAATTAATTAATAAATTTATAATATAATTATTTAATATAAATAATTTAAAATATAAAGATATTAATTTACTTTATAAAAATTTTATTTATTAAAAAATAATATTATTATAGTTAATATACAAATCAAGATTTAGTATATGAGCAGTATATTATTAAAATTGAAATACAGATCATATGATTTACTATGTCTCATATCTTAATTTTAATAACATATCACCTATATACCAATTAATTATTCAGTATAAAAAAAATTTCAGATTTTTTTTTATAAAAAACCTTAAAATTATTCGGCATATGGGAGGTAGTTAGTAGAAAAGGGAGAAATCCAAATTTTGGTTAAAATTTATATAATAAAAATTAATAAAAATTTTTGAATTTCACCTTTTTCTACTGACTGTCTTCCATATATTTAAAAATCTTAGATTTTATATAAATTAATCAAAAATATATAAATTTTTTAATATTTAATATTTAAACCTTTGTTTAATAATATATAATGAAAAACTAATAACAAACCTAATTTTTAAATTTTTAACCAAATTGTAAGTGTATGATTAAAATCAAAATCTTTTATTTGTATATTATTTAATTAACTAATAATAATAAATGAAGAGTATTATTACTAAGTCTATTACAAAAATCTGTTTTAATAATATTTTGTTTAGAAAATCTGTGTTTATATTTTACATTAGAAAAGAAAATATTATAAACAATTTTTATAAACATCATTGCTGTATATTAGGATAAGTAGTTAAATAATTTTCAAATAAATGAGAAAAAAATTCTTTAATATTAAAATTTTATAATTCTGATAAATAATTTTCTTAAAAAGATACCATTTGTTTTTTATATTTTTAGAATCAATTATTGAAGCAAGATAATTTGGTAAATAAGATTTTTCATAAAATCTAATTAATTCTTCTAATTCTACATCTTCAAACTTTATCAACTCCTCTTTATTTCTTGGCTATTCTTTTGGATTAAGTATTTGCATTGCATTTAATAATGAACAATCTGAAATTTTTTTTGAATTTTCAAAATAACTAAAGAAGCAAATCTTAAAATATCTACTATTAATTTACTTACATAATTCTCAATTAATATTAATTAATATATACCTATAAATAATGGAGAGAATAGTGAAATTTGTTGAATAAATTGGGTTGTGATCTAAGAAAATCAAGTTCTGAGAAATTTTTGATTAAAATTAATATCTTATTACATTTTAATTTAAATATAATAAAAATTAAAATGCAATTAAAATCTCAATTTTAATAAAAAATTCTTAAAACTTGATTTTCTTAAATCACAATCCAAAATTAAATCCTAAATTTAAATTTATCTCATTATTTTGTTCCAAATATTCATATTGTATTTTTTGAATAGTAGCATTAATTGTTATATCTATATCAGAAAATTAAATATATTTTTTTTGAAATATTTTACTAAGATATATAAAAAGCAAAAAAATGCTAAAAGATTCTAATTACATAATTCATCATAAAATGCTATAATTAAATCTTTCTTTTGTATATTTGTAATCTCTGCTGCATTTGATATTAATGTATCTAATAATATTTTAAGAGTTATATATAAATTCTTTATAGTCTCAAAAGATGAAAGCTATTAGATATCAAAAATTTTATAAATTTTGATTTCTGATTTATTTAAAAATTTCTGAGAATATTTATTCTTTTACTTGATTTGCTAAAAAACTTATAATATTTTTTTATTATTTGTTCAGTTTTTTTGCAAAAATAAACTTGTCTATAAGTACTTTTAGATGTTAATGATAATTTATATGCAATACAATAAGTAATGAAAGATATGTATTGTTTTTTGCAATCCTAGCGACTATACTATTATTTTTTCCCATCATTACACTTGTATTATCTGATACAAATAACATTGTTTTATTAGTTAAATCTAATTTTTATATAATAGTATTATCCCTTAGACTGTAAAGCAGGCAAATTTGCCTGCGAAGTTAAAAAAAAAG